ATCTGTAGTGAGATTTATGTTCCAATTGTAACTGACTTAAATAATTTGTCACACACTGTTGAACTCCTGACTTGTCCAGGATTCTGTGCTCTGCAGCTGAAGGTAGGAGAGGAGCAAGAGTTCTCCTTCCCTGGAGAAGCTGCCTTTCTTAGGAGGGGGTGTCCTGGAAGCTACTGATACCCTGTAACAAGTGGTGACTTAGCTATGCTAGTGCACAGAAAAGAAGGTTTGTAGTGTGGTTGCTGGCAAAGGGATCCTGGAGGGAGATGTGGGTGAAGAGTTCTGGGAGAAGAAGGAAGAAAAAGGCATTGTAGCTTGAGAGAGCAGCCGAGTGAGGCTGGAAACCTTCCTGATGTGTGTCAGATAAGTTAGAGAAGAGAATGAATAAAATTTAGAAATGAATGGAAAGTATTCTCTGAGCTTCTCACTGGAGTCATGTAATGACAGTCTTATTTCAATGTGAAGTGAGTTCAATTCTCAGAGTTGTTTTATGTGTGTGGGTTTTTTTTGAATTTACAAGCATTTATTTCCGAACAATGGACTGTTGGTGTTAAATACAGAAAAGACTTGAGGCATCAATTACAAATGAATTATACAAATATACTGTTTAATTTTAAATATAGTATTTATAATCAACATGGTGGAAGCTATCAATGTATTGGAACAAATTTATGAAAAATATAAAAATGAAAAGAGGGAGACATTGTTTCACTAACATTCCCAAATTTATTAATTCAAATCTGGTAGGAATCAACAATAAATTTAGATAATCTTTAATAAATTTTTTTAATCTCTTTATTTTATGTGTGTATTGAATGTGAGAAAATCTCAAACAAGATTCTTCCACCCTCCAGATAAGAAAGCTGAGGCACAGAGAGACCTTTAGCCCCAAGTTTGCTGTCGATAGAGCAGCTGCAGCACATACACCTCAGATGGGAAAAAGTGTGTTTCCCACACCGTCTCCCTGATATTTCTTACTGACTTCCAGGAAGGAAATTGGCTTTCATTTACTGCAATAATTCAATATTATATGAGGCTTTAATATTTTAAAAAATATTTTGTTGTGGAGTTGGGGGAGGGAACAGCGTTGGGGGAATTGGGGAAGGGGAACAGACAAGTTGCTGTTTTTATGTTCTTTAGTGTAGTTGTGGAGAACATCGCTTCACTGGCCCATGTTGGTATTGTGATCATTGCACTCTTCCCAGCTGAGGCAGATTGGGCATTTCATTTATTGTAGTAAATTAGTAGTAGAAATAGAAAATCTCAGCTGTTTTTCATTGCTTACGACAAAAACTGAAATCTTATTCTAAACTTTGCATTATTACAAAGGGCATTTGTAATAGGCATTTGCCAGGGCTGGTTATAGGTACTATATCAAGGGCAGCATTTTATAACCCATTCCACACATCTTGTCTGTGGAAGTTCAAGTCTCTAATGGGTTTCCCATTGAGCTACACATGATATCACACTCAAGCAGTTTACAGAGTGTAAGAAAAATCTTCATTCTTGGTTAGTTGACATTTTAATCAAGGAAAAAAATACACTTTTATAGGTTTAACTTACTGTGACATTTTCTTCTATTTCCCTGCCTTTTCAGATATCTCCAGCACAGCTGACTAAAAAGTACAGCTCATGCTCAACCATATTTCTAGATGACAGCATCATCAGCCAGCCTAACCTTGGACCATAGTAAGATGGTGGGTACAACTATGTTGCCAAGGGTGGAGTGACAGACCCCCTTATGCTAAAAGCATCTTAGCCATGTGTCACTTCAGTCATTTCATTGTCCTTTTCAGTGATCATGCTAAGAAACTATTGTCAATTATATATTGATTCCAGGGACCTAAATATGAATTTTCAATTTCCATTTTAACCTTGAGTGGATGGAAGAAGGGAAGGTCAGTTAGCAAGTAAGATATCCAAGAAAAAGCACATATTTTTATTTCATGCATTTTTGTTGTTAAGACGTTGAACATAATAACAAGGAGAAGTGCTTTTTATTGGATGTTTCGAGATAAAAGTATTTCTTTATGAGACATAGGCCTAAAACAATGCATACTACTTTGGTAGCTGCTCTTCGAAGGAGGAACACCTTGTCCCTACTGGCACCAGAGAGTATCCACTTTTCAGTGTAATCGATTTTGTCAGATTTTCCCCATTGTGCATTTATTTCCTGCACTATTTCTGTATGAAAATTCACTTCTCCTTCCTGTTCCCCAAAGGGGGAAATGCATCAAACTAGTCTTAAGGAACAGCTTTTCCAGTTAATTTCTTTGTGGATGAAATTTGTTCAACTGAGGTTTTAATGTAATGGGTATCTTCAATTTAATTTTACATATGTTTGTAACTATAGAAATATACCCCCAAGACACTCTCTCAGTCCATAGCTAAGCAAATCACAGCAGAGAAAAATGAGAGAGGTGAAGTTCGGGAAACACAGCCACAGTCAGGTTCATACTTAAGCGAACATGAACAGTGTGGTGATGATGAAAACTGTTCCTTAATTTCTGGGAGCACCTCAGTTCACTATCAGGGGTATACTTTCAAAACACTGTCAGTTGAAACTCAAGCTTATTTAGGAGAGAGAGAAAAAAACTTAACAGGATGTAGAGATTCTGAACTCCTCCCCTTGGTGTCCAAGGAACTTTATTAATGTCTCCTTGGGATATGAGTGTTCATTTTTCAGAACACAGTGTGGGAAATGCTACTTGAAAATATTAATATCCTCATCCCTAATTTTAGTTTTCAATCTTAAAAACATAATTAGCTCACAAACTTAATTTTTTTCTAATGTACCAGCGTTTTTGCTAATTAAGTAATCAGTAACTTCTACTGTAGTTAAAAACAGCAATTTCACAATCTTACTAATGGAACTTTCTTCTCTCACAACCAGAGTAGAGGTCAAATTGTGTTTCAGCAGATCTAAGCCCTGTCTCTCTCGAAATCCAGAGCTCTGGCACCTACTGAGTCCTCACTCAATACTTTCATTCATCCAAGACACAAACTCCAGGGGTCAAAACACCACTCTACTTTGGCTTTGGTCCATAGCTTCTTTTGAAATCAAAAGATTTTGATATTTCAGTATATCATTCAAAAGTAGTTTTAAAGATTAACCTTGCTCAGACCAGTAGATTTCATACCTTTCCCCCCCAAATTGGTCTTATTTTTGGAAGTACAGTAAGTTTTAATTTGATTTGTTAAGTTTTAGAAAAGATCAATTCGGTACATTCACTATCGGAGAAATAAATGTTTGCTGACAAATTTCATAGAGCAAATTGATTTTTAGAAATGAGTTTTGGTGGCAGCTGGTTAGCTCACGTGGTTAGAGTGCAGTGCTCATAACATGGTTGCCGCTTCAATTCCCACATGTGCCATGGAGCTGTGCCCTCCACAACTAAATTGAAACAGCTATGTACTTGACTTGGAGCTGATGGGTCCTGGAAAAACACACTGTTTCCCGATAAAAATTATAAAAAAAGAGAAAGAAATGAGTTTGAAAACTGTTTCTCATGAGCTAGTAGTGCCTTGTTTTCAGTGGGGTGGGTAAGCCTTATTAGAATCACTTAGGCAACTTTTCTCAAACTATGTATCTCTTAACCCCTGTGCTCCATCTACTCCCCAACACACTCCCTCACTCTCACAAACCTTTTGATGAGGTGAGGAAAGATGTGAGGCATGATGACATGGACAGAAACATCCAGGGTGATTCTGGTCTTCCCCTAACTCATTTGTCCCCAATCTTTGCTGCACATGGCAGGCACCTTGGGAGCTTTCCAAATAATTCCAAGTCACCCCCAATGCCAGTGAAATCAGAACGTCTAGAGATGGAAGCCAGGCAGTTTTTCCAGCTCCTCAGATGACCCCAATATACAGCCACCCTTGGAACCACTGCCTGTTATTAAGTGTAGGAGGAGGGGAACTGCTTCTACTAGTGGTAACACCTTGGGCAAGTCCGTTTTAATCCTATGTTTACCTGTTTGTACAATGAGGAGTTCAAATAAATGTCCTCTCCAGTTCAGTGGTCCTTTTCAGCTTATATGCTTCAAATTCTGTGATTTTCCAATCAGTTTGGAGAGACTACAGTGTTTGAAGCACTAGGGAAGTATCTGTCTTTGATGCTAACAGTGTTCTTGGCCTTTTTATAAGTGCTCTGATATTCCACAAACCTAGTTAGAAAAAATTCAGATTTTCCTTCTCTAGTTATTATGAGCTTCATTTTAGACACTGAGGACAAAGAGAAACATATGATTTAACCAAGAGAATCCCTTTGGTGCCTCATACCCTACATCTGTGAATGCTTTAAGAATGCAGTGACTGGCACAGTCCAAGGACTTACATCTGCTTATTAATATTTCATTTCAACTGATTTGGAAATACCTGTTATTAATGTGACACTGTGCAGTATTATGCTGCATTGTTAGCACTACTTATTTCAGGAGAGCTAGACCTATCGATTTTGTGGGTATTTATATTTGTTAAATTTTCTAATAATGATGTAAAAGTTATTTTAAATAATTTTCTTTGTTATAGAGCTCATTATTTACATTAGGGAAAGCATGGGAAATGGGTGTGTAGGTGGATAGTGAACTAAATCAACTGAAATGCAGAGCCTAACAACTTCTTTTTTTAAAAGCAAACAAACAAACAAACAAAAACAACTACAGTCTGGCTTAAATTTGAGTGTGTGTACAAATAGATATAACTTGTACAGAATGAAAGATTCTGTGGGTAGGCGGGCAAATGACAGGGGAAATATGTATTAACATATATTATAATAATCAACCGAAACATCTTCAAACCTAGCATATGGTTCTCCTATTTTTTCCTAGACCCAAAGAACTAAAACAAGGGGAAAGTGCCTATAAGATATAGTTCTCAATAAGGATTTCAAGGCCCCTGGGCAGCTGGGAAGGTCTTCCCTCTCCCCTGGCCCCAACCTTTTAAAATGTCTTCAGACTTGACATGTTAAAATCAACTGTTACTTTTTTTTTTCTCCACAGTGTGAGCATAGCGATATATCACCTCAGAAAGAACAGGTGAGTTTTCAAACCATTCTAGCTAATGAATTAGCAAGATACCAAGTTTAGTGTTAGGTAATAGCTATAGGCATTATTGGAGTAAGCTCTCGAGTGCTTTTATGGAAGTAAATCATTTGTGTTTCTCTTAGGACACTTAACGCTTAAGTTATTGAGGATCCCAAAGAGTGTTTATGTGGGTTATATTGGTATGTAATGTATTGAAAATTAAAATTGAGAATTGAAAAATAAGTCCATTGTATGTTAAAACAGGGTTTTTAGGGGCCAGCTGAGTGGCTTGTTGGTTAAGAGTTGGCTTGGGAGCGCGAGCTTTGAGCAGCAGAGCTGCCGGTTTGGATCCCACATAGGCCAGTGACGCTGCACTCTCTACAGCTAAGATGGTGAACAACAGCTCCACCAGGAGCTGGGCTGCCGTGAGTCACTGGCAATGGTGTAGGCTGCAGTGGGCTGCCGTGAGCTACCGTGAGTGGCCAGCAGCGGCCGGCAGCCGGCGTGAGCTGCCATGAGCCTTCGTGAGCAGCCGTCCAATGGCTGGTGACTGATCTGTCTTAGCCAGGAAGAGCGCAATAATCACAATACCAACATCGGCCAGTGAAGCGATGTCCTCCACAACTAGACTGAAGAACAAAAGGACAGCAACTTGTCTGTTCACCTTCCCTGATTCCTCAACGCTGTTCCCCTCCCCCAGTTCCCCAATAAAACCTTAAAACAAACAAAAAGACAAACAAAAACCTCAGGGTTTTTACAACACTATTGAAATACTGAGCTAGAAAATTCTTTGTTATGGAGGACGGGCCTGTGCATTCTAGGATATTGAGCACCATCCCTGGCCTCTACTCACTAGAGGCCAGGAACACCCTACCCCCACTCCACACTGTGACAACCAACAATGTGTCCAACCATGGCCAAATGTTCCCTGGGGAAAAAAATCACCCAGATGTTAACCATAGTGTTAACAACTTTTTTATGAAAATCAATCTTTTCCACAATAAAGTTGAGTGAAAGTGTGTCATATCTTCACATTTTGGGAAATATCTTTAATGTCTGGCTTAATAGAAGACAGCTGATTCTCGTATCTACTCTGTCTTCAATCATTTGCGATTACTTCAGTCATTTCAGTCATTTATTTGGAAGAAACAATATGAAGAAGACTCGGCCTCATGCAGATATGCAGCTGGTAAAAGGTGTTTATTTAAAGCCTTCAGATAATTGTGAATATTCTTTGACACTGTACCCATAACCCACAAGAGCTAGTTTCTTAAATTAGTTTCAGTGGAATTTTAAATCATGTCAATGGATTTGTTGTATGTACTCTGTGAAATTAATACCTATGGATCTATCTTGTACACTAAATGGATCTTTTACTTGTATGAGGTTTTATGTTATACTCTTATCCATTTTTCATTTGGAAAGTATTGGTTTTCATTTCTTTATGCAGTGTGAAAAACTCATTTTTGTTACTATCAGGAAAGTCTTTAAGTATTGAAAAGCTGTCAAGCTCACAAAAGCAGATACAAATTTTTCTAAATCCTGATTTTTAGCTTGATAGCTTGAATTTTCTCATTGCCAGCAAATATACTTAAGTTATTTCCTTGAAGTGACAGACTCACTTGGTTCCTTTTTGAGAGAATGACAGTCATACTATCAAGAAAAGATGATATTCTATGAAAAAAGTGGCTGCTCTGCTCACAACTAAGTCACAAGTGCTTTTTCTTAACCCAAACGTATTTCAGTATGCAGAAGTACTTAGTGCGTACTTTCCACTTCTTCAGTATACAGAGGATCAAGGTTTCATAGCACTATTCATTTTACTTCTTTATTGTGGATGTGCTTAAGTAAAGCAGAATTTGTTTTCCACTGCAAGTGGCAGTGAAGAATGGAAGACTACTGTACAGTGTGGTCCCACTGCCTTGATTCAGGCTCAGAACCCCGCTGTACCCACCTTGGCTTTTGTACAGTCCTTGCAAATGTCGGTGTAAAAGTTGATGCCTCAAGTGTCCTAAAAAACAGCTTTGACCTCATGGGCCTCCTGACCAGGGGTTAGGGGAACCCCGGAGGCTGAAGAGCACACTTGGAGAAAGAACCACTGTGTAATTGAGCACGGTGTATTATAATAAATCCAAACACTGGCCACTTTTAAAAGAAAAAGACAGGTTTTTAACTCAAACTATGTAAAAGAGACAAGAAATACACATAAGAATATAATCTAGGAAATGAATATGAGACAAAAGCAGGGAGGAAACATGAGTCTCATATTCACATGCATTAAAATTCTGAGGACATGATGGCCTACCACTACAGCTGGATAAAAAGCTCTCATGTGTTCCAGTGTGAGGGTAGAGGAGTAGAAATATATTTAGTTTACTAGCATTGCCTCTTATGGAGGGTCAATGCTTATAAAGGCAACTCTGACTGGTGTTTATAGAAAAGACTTCACAGAATTTGATGTGCTGTGTAAAAAGGGAATTGGAAAACCTCTTGCATAATCTAAGAGAAGAACATGTAAAACTCTCATGCTGAAGGTTAAGCTGCTCCCTCCAGCCCTTCTCTCCTGCCAGCAGATGTGTTCCTAAGATCTTAAAAATTCCTGAATGAGTGTTTTAAATGAGCATTCTTATTTTACAGACATGGAAATAGATCCTTGAATATTTTTGATGAGAGATTACATCCACCCACAGTAAGTGTCATTTTTATTTAGGTTTCTTTTATTTTATTTTCCTCTCATACAGTTGTGTTTATTTCATGCTAATTTGGTTTTAAATTAATTACTGGAAGAAAATTACTCCTTCCAGCTTGAAGTAAAAATCAACTTCCTTTCACTGTTCTTTCCCACCCCATGTTGTATCTCATTGTTTTACAAAAGGAGTGTTATCTAACGGATGTATATGACAGTAAGAACTGCATTTCAGCTTTGTATAATTAGTGACCTAACATGAGTAAACATACCCAAATAACAGAATATATGTCTTTTCGAAGATAATTTTCAGTAGCATGAAACAATATAAATTTTGTAAATAAACCTAAGAAATATGTTAAGATCTCTACAAAGAAAATTAGAAAACTATTTATATTTTAAATCAATTAATATGGCAAACAATCACATCCTCAGATGCTCTGTAGTGACATGTGGCTGGTGGACAACTGTATATAGGATAGCACAGCCTTGGCGCCTTCTGGTTCCAGGAAACTGAAAATGTCTTTTCCAAGGGGATTGCAGAGAAATATGACAAGATGATTGACAAGAGTTTTGAGCATTAAAATAGTTGATATTTAGATAGAATTCTGTGGGGTAAGGTAGAATGGAACATATGTAAACTTTCTGAGGTTGTGCCTATTGTTTTCATGAGTGAATAGTGATAAGCATTGAATCACTATGGTACTTTATGATCCCCTTGTTTACATTTAAAAGACTAGAAGACAGGTCACCCAATCAAAATTATTTTAAGGAGCATGTGGGCACAAGAAGAGGACTGCTATTGTAAGAGTACTGACATTTTTTTTGTCAATGGATACTTAGATTGCATTTATTCTTATTTCAGCAAGAAAAGGTTCCAGAGGAATATTTTAAGCATGATCCTGAACACAAATGGATTTATAGATTTGTTCGTACTCTTTTTAGTGCTACATGGCTGAGAGTTGAATGTGCAATAATAAGTTTGGTAAGCTATTTCTTCTTTCATAAAGCATCTTTTCTGTCTTGTACACAGAGTGTGGTCCTGTTTTTCAAATAAAAGTAGGTTCCTGAAATGATCATGAGAACTTTAATGAAGAGAAACCTATCAAAGGAAGTAAAATACACACATTTGAGCATAATAATCATTCCGATGTAAAATGTTGCTGTTGCTTTTCTCATCACAAAACAGTTGCTATGAAGAGAGCACGAGAGATGTCTGGTGTCTCCCTCCACACCTGAGGACACACGTGCACATGCAGTGCACACATGTGTATACACACACAGGATGTGCTGGTGGGGTAGGATGGGGCAGTCACAAGCCTCTGGTCCGCAGGCAGAGGCTGATCGAGTGTAGGTCTGAGCTGAGTCCCTGGCTGTATTCCCATGCAGGTCTGAAGTATGTCCTGATTGAGAACCATGGCCCTAAATTCTCTGGTGCTGAGATAATGGGTGCTGTTCCACCCCTGCTGTCCTCTTGTGCCTGCCTGTGATGTTGTCCAGGGTTAGGGTGCCAGCAGTCCTTGAAAAATATTTGCTAATTACCTGCTAAGCTACCGCTGTGTAAGGACCTGTGTGTTACCCATACAGAATTTCTATGGTAAGATTCTGTCATTTTGAATAATAAGTCTCCTTCTAGTGAGAAGTGGTTGGGATTGTATCACTGCTTTCTATAGCAAACCTCTGTCAACTGCATGGTGTGGAGGGAAAGAACATTTAGGTCAGTGCCTCCTCCTTTAGTATTCAGTGAAAATTTGGGAGAGGCAGCTTGTGCTTTTTTTTTTTTTACACTTTATTTATGTCAACATTTAATATTATTTTATATTAATTTCAGGTGTGCAGCACAGTGGTTACACGTTTGTATAATTTCAGAAGTATCCCCCTAACTAGTCTAGAACCCACCTGGCACTATGCATAGTTATTACCATATTATTGCATTCCTTTTGCTATACCTTACATCCCCATGATTACTGGGTAACAACCAGCCTGTACTTCTTAATTCCTTCCCCTTTGTCACTCACACCCTCAACCGTCCTCCCATCTGGCAACCATCACAATGTTTTCTGTATCGATGAGGTTCTTTCTGTTTTGTTTATTTATTTTGTTTTTTAGATTCTGCCTATAAGCGAAATCACATTGCATCTGTCTTTCTCTGTCTGACATACTCCACTCAGCACAGTACCCACCAGGTCCATCCATGACCCCACAGATGGTAAGAACCCATTCCCATCTATGGCCAAGCAATATTCCATTGTATACATGTACTGCCTACTCATTATCCATTCTTCTATTGACGGACACTCAGGCTGCCTTTACATCTTGGCTATTGTAAATAATGCTCCAATGAGCATATAGATGCACAAGTTTCCTTGTAGTGGTGTTTTGGGTTTCTTCAGATAAGTACCCAGAAGTGGGATAAATGGGTCCTTTTTTGTCTCTTGTTATGGCATTTATTTTAAAGTCTATTTTGTGTGGTATAAGTATTGTTACGTCAGCTTTTTTGTTGTTTCCATTTTCATGAAATATCTTTTCCATTCCTTTACTTTCAGTCTACGAGTGCCTTTTGATCTGAAGTGAGTCTCTTGTAGGCAGCATATGTAAGGGTCTTGTTGTTATATCCATTCAGCTACTCTATCTTTTGATTGGAACATTTAACCCATTTACAATTTAGTAATTGTTGTTAGATATATAGTTATTGCCATTTTAAGATTTATATTTTTTATTTTCTTTGTTTTCTTCTTGTCCTTCTTAAAGAAGTCTCTCTAACATTTCTTGTAATACTGGTTTGGTGGTGGTGAACTCCTTTAGCTTTTTCTAATCTGGGATGCTCTTCATCTGTCCTTTGATTCTAAATGATTGCCTTACTTGGTAGAGTAATCTTGGTTGTGGTCCTTGCTTTCCATCACTTTGAGTATTTCCTGCCAATCTCTTCTGGCTTGCAAAGTGTCTGTTGAGAAATCAGCTGACCGTCTTATGGGAGCCCCCTTGTAGGTTAGTAACTGCCTTTTTCTTGCTGCTTTTGAGATTCTTTCTTTGTCTTTAACCTTTGGCATTTTAATTACTATATGCCTTAGTGTAGGCCTCTTTGGATTCATCTTGATTAGGATTCTCTGTACTTGTTGGCCTTGTATGTCTCTTCCTTTCACCAGGTTAGGGAAATTTCCCCTCATTATTTCTTCAAATAGTAGATTTTCAATGCCTTGATTTGTTCTCTCCTTCTGGTACCCCTCTAATGTGAATGTTGGTGAGCTTGATGTTGTCCCAGAAGCCCCTAAACTATCTTCATTTTTTTGGATTCTTATCTCTTTTTGCTTTTCTGATTGGGTGTTTTCTGCTAATTTAGATTCCAATCTTGACTCAGTCCTGACTCAATCCTCTGCTTCATCTTATCTGTTGATTTCCTCTACTGTTCTCTTCATTTCAATTATTGTATTGAACTCGGCGTCTGGCAGATTGCTTGTCTCCATTTTGTTATATATCTGGAGCTTTGTTTTGTTCTTTTATTTTGGACATGTGTTTTTGGTCTCCCCATTTTGGCTACTTCTCTGTGTTTGTTTTTATATATTAAGTAGGGCTGCTATGCCTCATGGTCTTAGTAGCGTGGCCTTTTGTAGTAGGTGTCTTGTGGGACCTAGTGGTGCAGGCTCCCTGGTCAACAGAGCTGGATGCTCCAAGTTGTCCCTTGTATGGGTTGTGTGTGCCCTCCTGTTGTAATTTAGCATTGGTGGCTGTTTGCAAATCAATGGGAGGGATTGACCCTCAGATTGATTGGTGGTGAGGACTGGCCATGACTACAGTGGAAAAGCTGTGGTGCAAGGGCTGACTTTACAGGGCATAGCAGGGTTCGCTTTAGCAGGGCTGTGATGCCTGTGTAGGCTGCCCTTTGGATATATCATTTTTGGATGCAGCCAGGTGATGCTCTGGTTTATTTGGAAGCTGGACAACTGGTGTGCCAGCCCTGGAGCCTCCTGGGAGCAACCTGCTGTGTGCCAAGATTAGCCACAGTCTGCTCTGCCCAGGGCCACCTGGCATGGACCACAAAGCAATCCGCAAAAGGCCACTGCCAGCAGTGGTCTTAGAGGTGCCTGGAGAGGCCAATCTCAGAACTGAGGCTTGCTGTCACTGCTGCTGGGCTTAAGGCTGCTCAGCTACAGGTATAGGACATGCCGACGCAAGATGTAGGTTGTTTGGGTTTTGTGAACATTTGAGAGATTTTATAAAAGTCTGCAACATGAACGAAGACAGGTTGTTTGTACAGAAAACCCATTGGAAGCATCTTGGGTGTGCCTGAAAGTTAGGTGGGGCAAGTTTCTGGGAATCAGTAGGGCGGGACAGAGGAGCCAGTTTGATGAAGATTCCATTATAGTGTCTGCTTGTGTCTGCAAGGGATGGGAGCACTTAACAAAGACACAATGGTTTCCACCAACTCCTCTTGTAGAAATCTGCCCCTCCAGCCCTCCTCTTGCAGATGGACAATTCAGTCCCCCCCACAATATATGTCCCTAGCATCCTTTGATCCACTGCCCCAGTGTTGGAGCTCAGAGTGAGTGAGTACTTCAGTGAGTAAATCTGTACTTGGTCCTGTCACATCCTGCATGGCAAGGGCAAATGGGACATGAGAGGGGCGATGCAGATTGAATAAGAACTAGAGACAAAAGTCAGATAAGAGCGAGACCAAGGGACCCAGCCTGGAAGCCTGAGCCCTGAATCGGGTCAATGCATGGCTTTTATTGAGATCCTACAAGGAAGTGAAACTGTCATTTTTTCGAAGATCGGTTGCTATGTGCCTTAATAACCACCCTGGCGGTAATCCCGAATGTGGCTCGGGGTTAATTTTCACTGCCAGAAGCAGTAACCCCGAGCCACACTCGGGATTACACTGCAGTGTCCCAGAGAAGTCCCTTACCTGCTCCTTGTGATCCTGTGGTGTCCTCCTGTGATCGCCGACGAGAACACCGGCTGATGACAAATTACAGTGTTTTTTATTTGATTACATTATTGAATAAAATTATTTTTTTTATAATTATTTATTATAATTTATGATTTTGTGTTTCAAACTTTATCATACCTGGGATGCCTACTAGACTCTTGTTTGGACAGATTTAAGTGAGTAATTTCTAAGAATTACAGGCCTACAATATAAAACAACAAATTTCCATGCAAAACAATGTACAGCTTTGGGTACAAAATTACTGACATAATCAGACCACCAGGGAGGTTAAGGCTGTTTTCTGTTAACCAGCTCCCATTGTATTCCAACAAATGTTATGCCTTCATTCATCACTACACAGCCGCCAGGACACTGTTACTATGTCCTTTCATATAGGGGAGGTGACCGATATCATTCCACTGGGTCCCAGGACTGCCAGGACACTCCCCGAGAGAGCTTTACCGATATCATTCCACGGGTTTCAGGAATGCTGAGACACTCTCTCATGACCGACTGGGTCAGGGGCTAATGCAGCGGGGGCGGTCGTGGAGGTAGCTGTAAGGCAACAGGTCCCTTTAAGAGGAGCACCTGGGACTCCAGCTGCCCTCTGTCTTACTCAGCCACAATCTCCACTTGTTTTCACCCCCAGAAGTTATGGAGAACTCTCCTCAGCACTGGAAACTTGGGTTGGGGAGGCTAGTATAGGGATGAAACCCCTAGCTCCCTCAGAGGGTACCTCCCTACCTGAGATATCTTCTCCGATATTTAATGGTCACATGTGGGTGTGGGTCCAGCCCATTCTGTTTTTCTGCCCCTCCTACAGTCTCCAGGTGGCTTCTTCTGTATGTCCATAGTTGTAGGGCTTTGATTCTGCTAGACTTCAGGTGATTCTCAGTGATGGTTGTTCTGTAGTTTAATTGTAATTGATGTGGTTCTGAATGGAGGTGAATACCACATTGACCTACTCTGTCTTGACCGGAAATCTCTGGCTTGTGTTTTTGAATAGAGACCCCTCAGTGTGCACTGGCTCAGACACAGGCCTTTGGATGGAGTTGCAGGCCTTTGGAGTGGTTAGTACATGCTGGAGAAAGGTGGGAGTAGTAATGCCTTATGGAGAACTCTATGTAATGAAGGAAGTACTTCCATATGGAGAACTCTAGGTAACACATCTAGGTTTGAAGAAGGGGAGTTCTTTGTAGACAAGTTAAGCTGGATGTACCTGCAAGACAGCAGAGTGGCTGTGTCGAGTAATCATTTGAATATGTGAAATTGGAGCATGAATGTAAGCAAGGGGTAGGGAATTAATAGTAAGTGTTCAAATGCAGAGAAAGTGTATAGAATCAAAAGTGAATAGAAGATAGAAGAGTGACCAAAGTCGGTATTCTGTGGGTATATATACAGTGAGAAACTTCTTGGCAGCCTTTAGCATTTGACCACACTCTGCTTCTTGAGCCTGTCTTATCTTGGCATCTCTGATTATTCTCTCCTGGCTTTCCTCCAACTCTAGCCAGCCCTCTGGGGTCTTGCCCCTTAAGTGCTGATCAACCTTACAGATCGAAGTGCTGAGGACAGAGGAGAGAGCAGGCTGAGTAAAGTTCTTGCCTTTATGGAGTATATATTCTAGTGAGGAAGACCTGAGTATTTTTTAAATGAATTTTTTAAAATGAGTATTTCAGGCAGTAGCAAATACCAAGACAGTAAAGCAGGGTAAAAAGATGAAGTGATCATAGGGGCTTACTGTTTCAGATGGAATGATCAGCAACAGCCTCTTTAAAGAGGTGACATTTGAACCTTGACCTGATTGAATGGAGGAAGACAGAAGGAGCTCTGACATTACAGGCACAGGGGACAAGTGCAAGATTCTGAGACTGGAACATGTTTTGTGAGTTCAAGGAACAGCGGGGTGGCCAGTGTGGTTAGAGCGAGGAATGAGGGAAAGAACACAGGAGATGAGGTCACAGAGGGGCAGTGCCCTGCATTATAGGGCCTTGTCACTTGCAGGCCACGGAACAAACTTAAATTTGTATTCGTTTGATGGGAAACTTTTTACAGGTCTTGAGCAGGAGAATGGAATGCTCTTAATTAAAGAGGCTGTCCTGGGTGCTTCACCGAGAATACACAGTTGTTGGGAGGGAGAGTAGAGGTAGAGAAGTCAAGAGACAATAACAGTGATACCAGTGAGAGTGACAAATAGAATACAAAGTGGTCAGATAACCAGTGAGAGGTAGAGATACCAAGTATTGCTAACAGATTGGAGCAGCTAACCACAACGGAAGGCTTTGCTCCAGCAGCCAGGCAAATGGCAGTGCCCTCTATGTTACTAGGGAGACTTGGGGACTGGAGAGGTGGGATGAGGATCTCTGGTTTGTATGTGCACAGGCCCCCATGACCTCAGCAAGATTCTTTTCTGTGGAGGGATAGAAGCAGGCGGCAGACTAAAGTGGGTTAAGGAGAGAATGGGAGATGAGACGCCACCGCAGGGCATTTACTGTGAGAAAATGAGAGGGAGCATTCTAGGGGTTGTGAGCAGTTAGGATGGGACAATGTAAACACATTCATAATGGGGAAACTCTCTGGCAGAGTGGGAGAAATTCTTCAAAAAGAGGTTATTTGGGGCCCAGTATTCTGCAGAAGTGGGATAGGATCAACTTCACTGATAGAAGAGTTAGCTTCAGTGAGAAGATGGAGAAATCGTAATCCCACTGACTCAGGCCCAGTGGTGTCCATGAATGAGTAACAGCACATACCACGTTTGCCAATAGAGATGACAGGAAGTTGAGAGATTGCCAGTGTTGTCTGCGTGCCTCTAATTATTCCCATAAAGTAGAGTTGAACCTTGTAAGGAGGCTCATTTTTAGGATACCTGAGAGAGCTGAGATGGGGGAATGGGGGCAAAATTTCACTTAGAACAGAAAATGGTCAATAAACATTTGGTTTTGAAAACACAGTTCAGTTGGACAACATTGGCCAATGTGAGCCGTCAGCCTGATAATTTTTAGGCAGTAAACATGCTCTTTAAATTGGACCTTTTCCTTTTTGTCAAATTACATATACTCTTCTACAGAGCACCCTTATGGAATAACAGATCACTGCTTACTGCTGTAATCTTGACTCAGCTGGGAACTTCACCCAGTTCTTTGTAGAATAGACATTTAGTACATGGAAAAGAAATCATGACATCTCACAAGCTACCTGGCAGGTTTAGAGAGGTCTGAAGAGTACAGACTGGCAGCTCTGTTCCCACCTTGAAACTACCAGGAGGGACTGAGCTTCAGGTTAGGTAAGACAGAGATAAAGTTCATGAAATGCTAACGGAGGTGTGAGAACTCAGTGATGTGAAATGGACTGTCCTCTGTATGCATGTGTGTTCCTTAAAAAGGCACTAAGTGCAGAGATGGGACAGTTTGAAAGCCCGGCCTCAGGCACACCCATCTGTACCACCTGCCCTGCTGCACAGCAGCCACTGGGAGGTGCTCTTGACCACCAAGAAGAGGTAAATGCTCAGTCTCACCAGGGATTTAAACATTCAAGTATTATGAACAATCACCAGAGAACTCCCAGCAGGTGTGATGCATTGTGCTTTGCAGGCACTCCAGTATTCAGTGAACAACTTGAGTCTGCACTGGGCCTGTGTGTGCTGCCCTTTCCACGTGGGGAGGTGAGAATGCAATGCGTGTCTTCAGGATGTCCTTTGCTAAGATGTCCATTCATTCCTGTGACCAAAACTGGGCTGGAAATTGGGCACAGGCAGAGTAGGAAATAGACATGTGTGACTTGCAACTGTGACCTGGCCTGTGGCTTTGGCTGGCCAAGCAAAGCCTCTGTAACATCTAAGAATAAAAGGCATGTCAAACACAGATGAAGTCTGTCACTCCTACCAGTTCTTTATCACAGCACTTAAACTGAACAAAGTCAAAGACCAGAGCTCTACTTTTTCAGATTTACCTGGAAAGGCTTTTAACTTGTGCTTTTAACCTGTGAGGCTGGAGACCCTTGGCCTTGCTCTCATTTAACTCTTGGCTGCTGTTTCTTTTCTTTTTTAACCCTTCGCCACCTCCTGTAGTTCTCTCACTGTCCTTGTCATGCGGGATGCGACATCTGGCACCCAACGTGGGGCTCGAGAGGGAAGGATGACTACGCGTCGAAGCTAAAGGAGAAATAACGGTGAAAGGGCCCGGGAGGTGTCGCGATAACTACCGGACAAGGAGGTAGGGAAGATCCCGGAGAATTTAACCAGGGTAAAGGGGAATTTACTAAATACTTTCATATGAAAGAGTGTGAGTATGTGAGTGATTGACTACAGTTCCATGGCTTGGGCTACGGAACTTGTTTGGGCCCTAATCTGCGATTCCGTTGTCGCAGCGTAAGGCAAAATGGTGACTTGGCACTTAGCGGCGTCAAACCGGCCTGGGGTTTATACGGGTGCACCATAGCCAAGACGGACCTTAAAGTCCCGTGAGGGATGCAGCCAGACGGGCATCTGAGTGAATTTTGAGTGAAATTTTTTTCTTTTTCTATTTTTACTCTAATATGGGGAATACTGAAAGCCAATATCGGCCCTATATTTGCCTGCTTAAATAGCTTCTTAGGGCTGGGGGAGCACGAGTTTCAGATCAGGAATTATAAGAACTTTTAAGGGTAAATGAAACACATTGTTCCTGGTCCCCTAATATGGGAACGCTAAATTTAAGAACATGGGAAAGAGTAGGTAGAGATCTCCATGTGTTAAATCGTGAAGGGGTTTTGATCCCAGTAAGAATCTGGACTACTTGGAGACTGGTTCTGTCAGTTTTAGAGTCTTTGCAGACCGACACAGAGGATGAACGGGAGGAAGAAGATAATCCTAGGCTAAAGAATAGGGAACAAAGCCAGGAACCGGAGGCGAGACAAAAGGAATCTGTGGAAGCTCCTACAGTAGTTCCACAGCCCTTGTATCCATCGTTGGAGGAGTTTCGTCTGCCTCCAACCCCTCCATTACCTCATTTGCCTTCTCCGCCTCCATCAGTTACAGCCCGAGAGCATAATCCACCATTGTCTCAGGTCAGAAGGAATAATCCATTACTTCCTGAGGCCCGTACATCTTTTGGAAAAGCGTGGGTTGCTCTTTCCACAGTGGCAAGAGGTATACGATAGGCAAGACTGGAAGGTGACTTAGATGCTTTAGCCTTTCCAGTCATTATTCATGAGAGAGTTGCTCCAGGCTCTCATGAACAACATCCAAATGGAGTTTATGAGTATCAATATGAGGCTTTACTTTTTAAGATTATTAAGGAATTAAAAATAGCAGCAATATAGTCTTTTTTTTTTTT